ATTTGATCCCAAGATATGGCACAACAGATGAAACACAAGAAGACATCACTCGAGACCACAGATGACGGCAATGAAGACAACATTCAACACGTATTTCACAAACAATTTAATTATTTATTGAGTTTTAATTGTGTTTTTGTTTCTCATTCATAAAATTTTAGGCAAATATTTACGCGAAGAACTCAATGGACAGATTCGGTGATGACATGTGTGCACTCATATTATCCTATCTCTCACTCGAAGATCGGTTTCGATTGGAATGTGTGTCCAAACAGTTCCAGAGGACAGTCTTCAGTAGTGTTGTCTTTATTGATATCTACGATCAATTTGATGGTAAATCCAAGACTTGTTTCACAGCTATTATTGAATTGTTGGCCAAAAAGTTTCCAAACATTCAAACCATTGACTTTCGAGAAATGTTTATTGAATGCGAAGAACAGATTACAGAAGTGTTGCGATTATTTCGAGACAATTGTCTTAATTTGCGAGAAGTTTACTGTTTTTTAGAGGAAGAAACGGCACAATTGTATCGACAGTTCGGACCACTGGTCACACGAATCGGTAATATTTTGCGTAAACACTAACTAAATCTCTAACCACTGATTGTCTGCCCAATAGAGTGCACTGAATTGTCCGACACTGTCGTCGACACCACTTCCGGACAACTATTGGCCAACAATTTAGAGACATTAAAGATATATAACTATTACGCCAAAGACAGCCAACTATTGTCTGCATACGTGGCACACAATCAGTGTCTCAAATGTCTAGACATTGGAAATTTTAACGACGATCTGAACGCTACTCTTCCCGAACTGGCCGTACAATTGTCACGATTACCACAATTACGGCGATTGAGACTCGCGTTGGATCTAATGAATGACAACAACTCTGTGCACAACTTTTTGCGTACAATTGGTGTGAATTGCAAACAATTGCAACGATTGTCACTCAGGTTTTGCAGCGATCCACTCATTAGTAATGTTAAAGCGTTGGATTCATTGCGATATTATTGCCGATTAAAACGATTGCATTTAACAATATATGCGGACATCGAGAATATGTTGGAACCGTTGAGACACTGCAAGAGATTAACGCATTTAAAGTTGGATTTACAGGGAATGAAAGCACATGTGTTGAAGGATTTGCATCAATACTGTCCGCGACTTCACTACCTATTCATTCATGACTTTAATAACACGATAGACACCGAGTGTTTGTCACACATCTCAAGACTACCGGCGCTGCAAACGCTTGTCATTGGCTTTGAAAACTGTGGCGCAGAAACTGAAGAGCTTTCGGATAATGATTACTCGGATCTGTTGTCCAGAAGTCCTAAACTCAAGAACATTACAATCAATGGTCAGAATATCTCGACGTCTTATTGCCGTTAAAATGAGTTAAATGTTTAATTAATTATAAAAACAGATAAATATATTTAATACATGTTTAAGCTTTGTTTTCATGGCATGCATTGTTTAATCCTAATAAGCTCTTAAGTACATGATCTGACAATCAGACTAATATAACCACATGTTAATTTCAATGTTTTCAATATAAAACTAAAACTTCTGATATTTCTCTTTCTTTTGCATTTTATATTTATTTCTATTACTAAAAATATAGATTCGTTAGTTTCAATAAGATAATGCTTGATATATACACTATACACTAGGACAGTTTGTTAAATTGTAGCATAATGTTTAATAAATACCTAATAAATGGTAATGATTATTTAATAGTCAATTAAATTAATATAATATCAGTAAATACAATATTAATTAATATATTTTAAAATATTTCAAAAACTGTAATAAAAATTTGGCTATTTTAAATAATTTAAATTTTAACAAGTCTTATATATTTTTGGCGTTTTACAACAACAACAAGCTAAAATAATTAAATTGATAAATTTTTTGTAATTTTATAATTTGAATATAATTAGTTATAATTTAATTAAATTTTAATTAGCAGTCAATAACTTGTAATAATTAATTTAATTATTTATAGATAACCAAATTATTAATTTATTGTTATTATTAATTGAAATATACATGTATTTAACCCTGATTACAAATTATTGTCTCTATTTATATACAGTAAATGAATTAATTTTAATAATTATGACAAAAAAATATTATTTTAAATAGCATGCACCTTAAAAAGACATATAAATGGAATTTTATATTTTGTAAAGTGAAAAATTAATTTACCATTAAACAATTTATAACAATGTTATTAGCAAAACAGGTTGCTTTAAAATAAAATGTTAAACTTTACATAAATTAATTTTAACACATTATTTATAAAACACTAGATTTATCAGACGTGTAGTAAATGTTTGTTAATTTGCAAACTAGTAATCAATCTATTGGTCAGTTTTTTTAAAATCCCGTATAGTTATATACAAAATAGTTTTGTCCATTCAGTATAGTTGGCAACAAATCACGGTTCAGAACATACGAAAAGAGTATTACAAAAAAATATTGATAACAAACAAATAAAATTTAAATCATTTTGCAATTATTATTTGCAATATATTTTACATTTCATAAATTGTTTGTTAACTTAACTTTAATCAACTAAATATAATGTATTAGTTTTTATCTTAAATTGTAATAAAGTAACGCTTACCAAAGTTTTATTTGTTTTGCATTATGTTAAGAATTTTTCAACAAATAATTATAATTATGTTAATTGTATAATAATTTGATATTTATATATTATTTTATATTAAATTAATTTTATAATTTATTTTAAAAACTGTAATAAAAATTTGATAAATTTTAATAATTTAAATTTTAATAATTCTAACAATAATTGGGTGTTAATAATCTCATATATTTTTTGTATTATTTTATTTTGTAAAACATTATTAATAACATAAAGTTCAAATTATAATAAACATTTAATTATTTGTATTTTTAAGTTATACATTTATTGACACCAAGTTATTGTAACACAATATTAATAATCTATAATTTTTTGAAATCTAATTTAAATGTATATTTTATTTTAAAATACCATTTAAAGTTAATTAACATTTATGTTTTTAACGCTAACAAATAATTATAGCATTAATTTAATTAATATAGCTATTAAATTAATTGTATTAACATAGTAGTTGCACCTAGATATATTGTACAATCGTATATTGTAATTATTTGTGCTTACAGGAACGCATAAATAATATAATAAATATACTAATCAGTGCATTTCTGGAATAAATAATACGGCAAAACTGATGTTTCATAATTATATACCAATCATAAATTAATCCCAATAAGCTCTTAAGTACGTGATATAAGTATTTGCTTTTCAATTAAATAATTTCAATGAAATGTGTTCATTCGTTATTTGTGGTGTCGTATATTGTATGTTGTACTTTAGTTTATTTGCAATCAGTACATATCATTTATCATATAACAGGTAGCTTAAATTATTTTCGTTATATTTTATTATATAATTTAATTAAGTTATATGATTAGCTATAGTAGAGTATTTTATTATTAAATATATATAATATTTTAATTGATATTAGTGATTTTATAATAATAAAATTTATATAAATTAGTATCGAATACTATTTTATAGTTTATGATAAAATTAATATTTGTATAAATTCAAATATTATTTTTAATAAAATGTATTTTTATTAAACATTTAATAATTGAATAATTTTTTATTGGAATGTTAATTCATAATCCATATGATAATAAATTGCTTAATAGAAAACATATTAAGCTCATTCAATAATTAATTTTATCAATTTTAGTTAATTTCTAAATGATGAAATTGGCAGTAGATAATGATTGCCTAATAGATCATGCATAATTCATAGGATTAATAATCAAAATTAAGTGTTTATTAGGCAATCATAAATAAGTTAAAATAATAACTACCAATTTGTATATAAGCATCAATTAATTGCATAAATAAATCACTAACATTAATAACTTTTTATATATTCTGCAATACATTGTAAAAATTATTAAAGTAACGTATAGATCAAAAAACTTAAACATGTTTAACTATTATGTATACTTGGCTATTCTACTAGGTAAGTTATAATAAACAAAATTATTAAACAAAATAAATTTATTCTTGATTTCAATAGCATCTGGATCGGTTTACAGTGCACAGGCATCTGTTTGCATCGGCAAGATAGACATATCACCATGCTGGTGTAGCAATGAGACCACGGTCATTTGCGATTCTAAATCATTAACCGACCTAACGTTGGAGGCTGTATTCAGTAAATTTGACCAGGCACTAAATTCGCTTGAATTTGCTGAAAGCCATGGTTTACACGAAGTAACGCTCGACACGGTATACATCAACAGTACATCGATAGTACAGTTGCGGCCAAAACTATTCGCAAACTTACGTTTTAAGCGCTTTATCATTGAAAACGCTTATAACTTACGACACATACATCCGAATACATTCACCGGCACTGCGCTCGACATCCAAGTGCTCGCAATCCGTAACACACCTCTACACGAAGGCCCGCGTAATGACCTATTCGTAGCGTTGAACACGTTGAAACACGCGCGCGAAATATACTTAACCAACACTAGTATTTACGTTATTCCCAGCAACGCGTTCGTGTCCCTGGTCAATTTAGAAAAATTATATATTGATGATGGTCTGGTGAGAACTATTAAAAGTATGGCGTTCAGAGATTTGCCCATGCTCAATTACTTGCGTTTGGCCGGCAATAGAATCACCAGGGTCGGCAAACAGGCATTTGATCTTAAGTCAAGCGCACAATTAAAATATGGTTTAACTATTAATCTAGATCACAATCTATTAACCGACCAGTCATTTAATGGTAACCCATTATCCGTGGCACAGATCACCATGAGCCCAATTATGTTACAGCTCGAACACAATCACATGACTGTTTTAAACGAGTCAATATATTATCCATTGTTAACCACTAATACTCGTAATTCGTTTGGTGTTGAGATTAACTGCGATTTGTGCGATAATTATTGGCTGATTAGTGAGGAGTTGAATGGTTTCCAGACAGGAAATATACATTGTCGATCAGGTGCATATACTCTAGGTGATTCCACTCATTTCACAGGCTGTTAACTAAATAAAATGCAAATAATAAATGTAGAGTTAAATATTTTTGTAAATTTACAAAAATGTATGTTGTACAATCATACATTGTAAATTTACACTATTGTTCCGCTTTACAATAGAGTAATTATTAATTATCATTTGTATTATTATTTGATTTAATATTTTGTAAATAGTTAACTTATTATGATTTATTTGCAACTTAATTATATAATCAAAAATATTGATTCTTAATGTTAAAATAAACATTAATAAAATTTCTAAATTAATTAATAAAATGAAATCTTTAAAAAATGTTTTTCAAAGAAAAATATAATTTACATATAATATTAAAATGTTAATCAGTTAAATATGAAATATTTTAAGAGAACAATTTAGTGATAAATAAGTTTTAATTATTGTGAATAACCTATTCAGAATAAGCTGTAAATTTAATCAATTACATTACAATATATGCACTACTTTTAAATAAAAATTGTTTATGGGTTTGGTGGCACATACTAAAGGGTCCCTGACTTTAAAGGGCCCCAGCAAAACAATAATTCAGTCGGTAGCTGGTGCAACCTAACGCCTATCACATGTGGGCCCCGTATAGTGGGGCGGCCCCACTGGGGCCCATCACTTTTTCCGTCACTATCAACTTTTTCACGGAAAATATAATTTTTCAAAATTTTCTTAAAATTTATAATTTTATATAAAAAATTATTTAAATGTCTTAAGATTTGTGTATTTAAAAAAACCCTCAAAAATAATTTTCCGTGAAAATGTAAAAATTGACGGAAAAAGTGATGGGCCCCACTATCCGGGGCCCACATGTGATCGGCGTTAGGTTGCACCAACAACCGCCTGAATGAATGTTTTGCTGGGGCCCTTTAAAGTCAGGGACCCTTTAGTATGTGCCGGGTTTGGTATCTCTAAATAATTTTTATAATTTATATGAATTTACTTAAAATTCTACAATTTGATGTAAATAATATAAGGAAACTATTTTAATTATTAAAATCATTTTTAGTTAAAAAGTTAAACATACAACCTATGACTTGTAATTTGGTTCAAATAGTTTGTGACTTGTATACATTTTAAACAGGTAGGTCAAGCTTACCGGCAATGATTGATAAACATATTGTTTTAAAATTAAATGTACTAATTAATATAAAAATTACTTCGTTAATGGGAAATATGAATGAAATAAATAAAAGTTATATGGTATAAAAATGGTATTTTGCTTATTGTAATAAATAGTAACATTAAAAACAGTGTTAGTAAGACATAAATAATCTAGATAAATATAAATGATTATTATTAAAACATTTTATATTATTTTAAATATTTTTATTAATAAGCTGTAAATAAAATTAATAACTTTACCAGATATACACTATTTTGAAGTAAAAATTAATTATTGGGTTCAGCCGATGTGTGGGAATTATATTTACGATTCTATATTTATATTTATTTACTTTTAAATCCTAACGGTTAGTTTCAATAAACTAACACTATCATCATAATTATTAAAATAATAATTAATCATATTGTAATATAATAAGCTAAAAAGTTTAAAATATAATTAATAACCTGTACATAAATTTAATTAACTTAAGGCTTATCTACAATTTAAAACTTATTGTTATTTATTGGATAATTAAGTTTTCAAAATACAATTTTAAAACATTTAAATAAATTGTATTAAATATAAATAAATGTAAAATTAATCTAAATATAAATAAATGAATCACATCAATAAACTTAAATTTTATTGTTAATTTAAAAATAATTTTGTTTACAATCTTAATTATAATTCAATAAACTCACCCTGCCCGTTTGTGTAGAACTCTTCACTGGCTGGAGGGCTGGAAAAACGGATCAGTTCCGCACTGACTAGTGGACGGATGCATAGACACAGTATAGTCACGTTTCCAATACCCGGGGCTCTTGTCTACGATCGCCACTTCAAACTTGTATGGAAACGGCCATTGAAGGCCTAAGGCACTAAGGTTAATGCAATTTATAAATTATTTATCTCGGTAATAATCAGTCAAATTCTATTTATTCATTAATTGAAACTTTAAATTATTAATTTATAATAAATTTATCTGTTTAAACTATTTGTTTAAATCATTAAACCATGAAATTATAATTTTTTAAATATTAAAATATTAAATATCAATTGTTCAATAATTATTTTATTTGAAATCACAGCTCAGATCATACAAAAAGAGATTTACAATATAAGATAAAATAGTTTAACAATATAATAATATAACACTGGATTTATTTCATATAAAGCCTATGTAAGGAACGAACATGGACATTTCCAATATAAAAGTGCCTAATTTACATACAGCTTATATATAAATAACAAACACCTAAAATTAAAATCATTTTGCACTCACTTAATTGCAACATATTAACCATTTTATAAATTATTTGTTCAATCAATTGTAGATAATTTGTAGTGCACCGAATAGAATGTATGAGCTTTTATTTAAATTAGTAATAAAGTAACAATTACCAAGGTTTTATTTGTATTGAATGATTTTTTCTGCAAATAATTATAATTATGTAAATTATGTAATAACTAAATATTATTTTATATTAAATTATTTTTATAATGTTTTTAAAAACTGTAATAAAAAGTTGATAATTTGAACTAATATAAATTTTAATAAGTATAATAATATTTGGAGTGATAAAGTAAGAGACACATTTTTTGTATCATCTAATTTGAAAACATTATTAATAACATAAAAATAAAAAAGTATAATAAAAAATACTTAATTAATTGAATTAATTAATCGACTCGTGTCGGCTTACGGACATGGTTAGTTTATTTGTCAAATAATATAAATATACGTATTTTTATCAGTATTCAAATGGCATTTCTATCGCAATCCTAAATATCATAGTTTAGTTTATAAATTCTTACATGTTTAAAAATAGATTATTTAACTTAAATAAAAAACATAACATGATAATATTATTAACCATTATGATAATTTTTAGTTATTTTAAAAATCATAACATGAATGAATTTATGACATATAAATAATATGTTTTATTTATGTTATAAAATATAATAAAAATAAGATAGCTTTGTTATATAAATTTATTTAATTATAATAAGTTCATTATTTAAAATTAATATTACGTTTAGTCCATATAAAATAATATATCAGTTATACAACCTTAATTAAATTGATGTAAAATACTTCAAAAATTATGCTATATTGTATAAAAACAATGAATTTATAAATTACAAATTAAAAAAAACGTTTGAATAAATCATAAATTACAAATTTATACAAACCCAAATTAATATTTTAATATTTGTAAACCATGTAAAATAGTGCATCAGTTATACAACTCTCATCAGATTTATGTAAAATATCCCAAAAATAAAGTTATAGTCATTTAATGACATAATAATTAAAATAATCATAAATAAAAATTATTGTAAATAAGCTGTAAATAAAATCAATTACATTATCAGATATACACTACTTTAAAACAAAATTAGTTATTGGAGCAGTGCCGATCAAATTATATTCTGTATTTATATTTATTAACAATTAAATCCTAATTTTTAAATGAGTTTTATAAATTTCACAATTGCACATGATACGTATGGTAAAATATTTGTCCATCACAATAGAGGCTCGTTTGCTCATAAAATACAAGCCTATTTTAGTGAGAAAACTAATATTAAAGATATTACTGAAAATTATAATGAGTTAGTGTTAACAACTCCATCAACTCAACAGAACTCGGGATACGCCGAGTGCTAGTAACTAATGCCGGGAAATATATTTTTAAAATATTTAATTCATTTATTATAATGATTTTTAAAATTATTTGGCAAAAGTGAATGTATTTTTAATAATTTAATAATTTTAAATATTTAAAAATAAATATCCTAGTGATAATTTTGAATAATTAGTCATTGATTAATTTAATTTAGTAAATATTATATCAACAATAATTTGTGAAGTTAATTTTATAATTAAAGTCATAGCACAAATATTAACGCATTTAATAATGTTTGAATTTTGTAACATTTTAACAACTACATTTATATTTACATTTACCAATATTGATGAGCAAAACAATTAAGCATATAAGATTATATCAATCATATTAATTAAAGCATGTAAGAAAACCATTTAATAATTGACGAGATTACCAAATTTATACATAATAATTAAGTTTTACCAAGTTATTTAAACAATTGCACAATAAATGTGTTTATTGTAAAGAACTGTAACACTTATTCTTTAAAATTTGGAAATATGATCAGATTTAATAGCTATTTTCTTTTGGTATATTAAATATACGAAATTTATGATTTTATAATTTTAAAGTTGCCTTAGTAAACAATATAGATTAAAAACATTATAATAATTAAGTGTTGGGTATTTTTATAAACCAAGCATGCACGATTAGAGCATGAAAATAATCAATTATTTATTGTTGTAATTGATTAGTTAAAATTGTTGAATTATTAGTTTTTTGGTAAAATTAAAAATTACAAAAAAAATGTCACACAAAATGTATTTAATTTTATTGATGTGATTTGAGGCATCAGTTACTCTACCAGTGCTGCACTAATTGTTGCGCTAACTCATATTGCTTATATTTATTTATAATATCTGCTGTTATGTATACTTTAGACTGTAACTATAATGAAATTATAGTTTTTAAAAATATAAAATGTTAAGTCATAATTTTATTTGGCTGGAATGAAAGAATGTAATAAAATTATTAAATGAAATATATTTAAGCCTGATTACAAATTATTGTCTGATTACAAATGAAATTTTCAAATTAATTAATAAAATGAATTTTTTGAAAAATGTTTTGCAAGAAAAATATAATTTACATAATAATATTAAAATGTTAGTTAAATATAAAATATTTAACAAAACAATTTAGTGATCAAATTGATCCTAGTAATTTAACATAAATGCTCAGATAATCAATACTTTTAAACAATGCTAAATTCTCAAAACATT